ATTTTTTTGCGAGGGTTAATAAACTTTGCAAAAAAAATCACAAATAATATGTCTGAACACAAGTTTGGAAAAATGTGTGATCACATTCTACACTAAGATGCTAGCGGAACAAGTGCTAAACACAGACTGATGTAGCAAGCGCACGATCCGAGACTTCACTTCTCGTCACTCGTTATGCGAAACGTTGCTCGTTAAGGAAGTCATTTTTTTTTTTTACAATTTATTTTGCTCGTTATGCCAATTACTCGTTATGAGAGGTGCTCGTTAAGTGAGGTTCCACCGTACCCATAAACTATAATTAACTCCACAGAACAGAGTCCTACTTGTGAAGCTAATCGTTGCTTAGCTTGTTAGGAAATTCCAAGCATTTTATGGAACCCAAAGGTTCACTACTGTGTTCACAACAGCCTGCCACTTGTTGTTATCCTGGGCCAGATGCCAACAGCCTGCCACTTGTTTTTATCCTGAGCCAGATGATTCCAATCCATGCCCTATCCTGTTCCTTTAAAATGGATTTTAATATCATCTCATCAGTGCTTGGGTCTTCCAGGTCATTCCTCTCCTTCAAGTTATCTTATCAAATTTTGTATTCATTTTGCTTCTTTTCTGTGCATGCTGTGTGCCCTGCCCATCTCATTGTTGATACATCATTCTGATAATATCTGGCAAAGGGTACAAATTACGAAGCTCCTCATGCTATTTTCTCCAGCCTCCTGTTACTTCTTCCCACATGGGTTGAAATATTCTCCTATGCTAAATCTTTTGGTACTGTTTTAAGTGAAAATGACCTAGGGACTCTGGACAATCTAAGTTTCAAATGTCATGTCCATTTTTTGTTCCTAGGGTCATTCCAAAAGTCAGTCCAAGTTTGTGAGGGCGTTTGTAATATTTCGTAATGTGTGTTTTGTTATTTTCCTTTTTGATGAGTTGCTAGGCCTCCCAACCAACTCTGAAGTTGAGGTGTCATCAGTAAAAGTAAAAAAAGTAAAGCTATCCCTGTACAAGTCTGTGAAGGCCTATAGGGTTGTGAGACGTTGAGGGTCCCACATTATCTAGACAGTCATCTCAAAGATGGCGGTAAGGTTGTCAGCCTTATGTGCCAGCCGCGCTTTACTCCCCAGGAAAATTATATAATTAATTCCTGGTACTCATTTCTGTTGGAGGCTGAGTAAACACCTGGGCCTAGTGCGGCTCATCTAGTGCTGATGGGACAAGTGCCTCAATGTACGGGGAGATTATGCTGAGAAATAAAAGCATTTTTCAAACCAGTACTCTTATTTGTTTAAGTTCTATATCCATTTGTAACTTACTTATTGGCTACCCTTGTACTTGTAGTATTGAAAGATAGGATGATCAATGAATAATGGATTGGAAAAGATGTAGAAGGTGATTGTCATGGGCTAATTTGAAGCATTAACACCACAATTTGCTGAAAGAATTAAGTAACGGTGTTAAAGATCTTAGAATAGCTGTCTCTAGGCCGAGATTTGAACTAGACAACCCCCCCCCCTAAAAAAATATTAAGAAATTAGGTTTAGCCCCTCTACCACCTTGTTTGGTATAATTTTGTTATCTGGAAATAGTTACCATGTTTTGTCGAATGTATTTTTGTGGTTGCAAGTTATTGAGATAACTCTTTTGTACCATGGATCAATTTCTGTGTGATGAGTGGCTTTTAAGAAAAACTATAGTGCAAACCCCAGTGTGATTCAATCAGTTTGGGAGAAAGGGAGTATATAGACAAATGGATGTGCGTGCATATGCACATTCACATTAGACAAACAAGTGAACACACACGACCTCTTTGAGATGGATAATGTTCTTGCATGATATGCAAGGAATGCATACAAATGTCAGTCAAGGTATTAATTTACAATTCATTTTCTTATGTATCATTTTTCATTATGTACTTGATTGCTGTGCTGATGTACAGGTGTGGTGCACTGTTTTGTTTTGTTTTTTCTCTCTCTCTGAATTTCTTGGATCTGTACACTTTGCTGTTGCTATAACCATTGTTTGTGACGATTTCTAAACATCTGATTTTCGGGAATATTATTAAATTAATGTTTTGTGTATTCATTATTTCTGAACATTGGGGGCCTAGTGGGTAACACTGTTCTTTTATATTCTGGAGGCCCTGGATTCATATCTCAATCTGGAGATCACCTATCCTGACCGAGTTTTCAGTGGTTTTTCGCAGCCCATTGCAGCAAACACTTGGATGGTACCTTAAATTAGCCCATTATTCACTAGTCATGCCATCATTCGACACTGGTATCTGCAGTACTGATACTATCATTAAATAAACCATTAAGAACATAAAACTTCTCACTAAAAAAAAGATAAAGAACAGAACTCTGAGAAAATTTGTATTTATTATGGGTGAACATTACTGGGATTCAAGTCACTGGTGTAATTGCCAACCGACTTGCCACTTCTGAATGAAATGTTCATCTGTCTTGAAGTCTTGCAAATTTTATTAATTATGTAATTGTACCAAAGTATTACTTTGTTTCAGGAATGGCACATTATGTGCTGCTTGTGTTAGCTTTCACATTATCATCCTCTGAATTTTCAAGCACAGGATTTGAACATGTGAGTACTTGTATAACCATGTCTCCTGAACTACAGGAATAGTTATTAATAGACATTAGAGGACAGAAGTGTACTGTGATCTGGCTCTTATAGTGCAAAAGCAACCAGTGTCCATAACTGTTTTGTTGCTTGATGATTGTTTAATTCATAGTATGATTCATTTGCACTGACATAGTGGTGTAAGCATAAGATTGTCATAATGAACCATTTTGTTATGCAAACGAATGGGACACTCGTGAGTCAATAAAAAGTATCTTGAATTCATGTCAATGGAATATGTACATTTTAATTTGTTTCATTCTGGTGCGTCACACTAACAGTATTACAAATGATAAAAAAATTCCGTCCAGTGTGACTGTTGAAGCTTTTACTACTTCACTTCTTAGCACCCTAACATGTTTCGGTCCACATAGACCATCATCGGAGGAAACATCAATACTTTTAGAAACTACTATTACATTGGGTGTTTTGATTTTTAAAATACATAAATATATAATATTTGTAATATATGCTTTAGTTGTAAGAAATCTGGATTTTGTGTAAAGTGTATATTACAAATATTGTATATTTATGAATTTTAAAAATTAAAACACCCAATGTAATAGTAGTTTCTAAAAGTACTGATTTTCCCTCAGATGATGGTCTGTAGGGACTGAAACATGTTAGGGTGCTAAGAAGTGAAGTAGTAAAAGCGTCAACAGTCACACTGGACGGAATTGTTTTAGCATTTGGAATATGTACATATTATCAAGGCTGCTACTTGTAGCGGACCATCTGTAATTACCACAACAGGTACTCTTAACTTCACTAGCAGGAATATCTGCTTGCTGCCTACCTCATGCTAATTTCTTGTTTGGCTTACTCTTTGACCTTGAAGATTGAGGAGATGTGTTTTATTGAAATATTGGTTCACTTTCACCCGACTGCATGATGTTATATCCTAGAAGATAGAACTGTTCAGTATGAAAAATATTCTTCTGGCAGTGATAGGAGCATTTTCTCAGAACATGTGGTGCTCAAAAGGAGCTTTTGTTGCTATGCATGTATTTACAAAATACTTAGTTATGGAACTGAGCCCTTCTTGAGGAGAAGCCAACTCTGCAGCTACTCAAGAATTTCCGAGCATTTTATGGAACCTGAAGGTTCAGTATTTAGAAAATACATATTCTTATTGTAGATAAGAAGCATCATTATCATTGTTTACTGAAGTTGAATATATGCTGTAGGATATCAAGAGACATGTATGGAGTAGAGGGGAAGATACTGTTGGAACATTCAATTCTGCTATCAAACCTGCTGGTATGGAGCCACCTGACTATGGAAATCAAACATGGACTTCTGAAGGTAGACAGACATTTATTAAATCTTCAAAAAATTCTAGTAAGAAAGTTATTATATATTAATATATAATAATCTAACATGTGTTTGCTTACTCTCATGGAGGGTGTGTGCTTTAGAGGGAGGGGAGGACTGTGAGCCCACACATTTGCTGACTGATGTCCCTAATGATACCTGGTGTTTTTTATTCATTGTGAATTGATGTGTGGTCTCCTTGTTACAAAGCAAATGAGAAAGTTGTTTATGGGAGTGGCAATGGCGTTTAATGGTTTAATGTTGTGCAGTTCAGTTTTGAGTTAATGTTGAATAAATATGATAAATATTATTTAGACGGACTTCATACTACAGAGGATTAATGTCAAGTCTATTTATCTCACATTGATTATGGTATATTACTCGGTTATTAGGCCATACTTGTTTGTACAAAATTTTTATTTTAAGTAGGTTCTGTACTATGTAAAATATGGCTTCTTTTATAGGTTTCAGTGTAATTGCAAGTTGGCCAGATTCTACAAAGAAACTTGGTCAACTTTCAGCTGTCAGTTTGGATGTTGATGGTAATATTGTAATATTCCATCGCGGAGATCGTGTCTGGGATGGTAATACGTTCCTTACAAACAATGTCTACAACCAGCGAGCTATGGGACCTATTAGCCAGCCTACTGTTGTCGTGTTCAATGCATCTTCAGGGCTCGTAGTTGAGGAATGGGGCCGCAGTATGTGAGTACTTCTAAGCAATTATAAGAGTGGAATAGAATAGAATAGAAGTGTTAGACATCCAACTGTCATTGTACTGCAACCAGAAATGATCTGTTATGCATTATGTGAACACTTGTTGCTCCTTTGCAGACAGAAAAGTTAAAAAAAAAAGAGGAGTAGTGCATAGATTTCAAAACTAGAGCTCAGATGAGGGCAGGCAGGGCATTCACATATGCCACATGGTTCAAAGTACAAGGTGTGTCCCAAAAGTCATGAAATATATATATATTTTTTAAATTTATTGATGATATCGGTACAAAGTGTTAATACTTCAAAGTACTGTCCATGAGCACCCACACATTTTTTCCACCGACTCTCCCATGCCCGGTATGCCCCCTCAAAGGCCTCGACGGGAACCTCATTTAAAGTTGTTGTCAAGGCCGCTTGGATAGCCTGAATGCTTTCAAAACGGCGTAATAACACAGCCTAAATAATGAGGTTCAATTTCCACATGTTCTTTCAATTCATTCGCAATCAACACTCAGTTGGCCTTTTGCTCGTCCGTCAACAATTTGGGGACCAGCTTGGCGCACACCTTTCGCATGTTCAATTCGTCCATAACGATGCGATGCACAACGGTTTTTGGAATGTTCAGAGTGTCGGCTAACAACCGGACAGTCATTCGACGGTCAGTATTCAACAAATCACGCACATGAGTCACATTTTCATCGGTTTGGCTTGTTGATGGCCATCCAGAGTAGGGGTCATCTTCCACTCCTTCCTGGCCCTCCTCAAACTTCTTCACCCACCATGTAACTTGCACATATGATAGAGCAGACTCCCCGTAGGCTTGCTTAAGCAGTTCGTGAGTTTCGGCAGCTTTTTTGTTGAGGTTTGTGCAGAACTTGACTGCCCAACGTTGTTCGAAAGTTTCCACCATTGCGTGCCGTGACATGGTCACAAAACACAGGTGCACTAAATCAGCGATACTGACGCCTCCGATGCTCGAGCAGACTGACCTTGGGCGCTCTGTGAAGCTAAAGGCCTCCCCCCCCTAACCCAACCGGTTCCAGCGAACTCCGACCAGTAGGAGCGCGGGAAAGAAATACAGTAGAACTTGGTTATAACGTCATCAAAGGGACCTAAAAATAGTGTCGTTATAAACGAATGTCGTAACCGAAATGGGCACTTCCACAGTAGCCTTATGTTAGTCACGTAAAAATCTACCAAAAACCAGTTAAAATGTTGCATTTTTTAGTGAAATGCATAGTAAAGTACAGACTAACATAACATTAACGTGGAATTAATATGGATTCTCCATATTGTTTGTACTGTAGAATTCACCAAACCAAATTCGCGGCATACATCAGCTTTTTTCCTTCCATTTTCTATTTCACGAATCACTTTAACTTTCTCTTCAATGCTTAAAACTTTCCTTTTCATTGCCATGTTTTCGCTACTGCACTTCTCTGGGTTTAGGCAGGAACACTATAGGGTAAGTAGACAATGTGAGGTCCTGTTAGACGAGATTCTAGGAAAGGAATGCAGTTAACAACCTGCCGCGTCCTCTTGCACTATTCACGCAGTCCCACCCCACACCCTTGTTTTCGCATAAAACCCACGCTCCTCTTGCAGCCCGCGGTCGTATTCTTCCAGGACAGTCACGTCAGCAAGTAGAGAAAGTGAGGGTGGGCAGACACATCGAACTTTCCCACGATATCAGAGAAATTCAGGAATGAAAATGACGTTACATACGAGGTTGATGCATTTGTGCATGTCGTACTAAGCAAGGTATAAAAACAGTTGCTTTATGAGGAATTAGTTCGTACCATTGAATATTTGACGCAATAGACAAGGTGTCGCAGAAACCGATGTTGTTATAACCAAGTTTTACTGTATATTTCATAACTTTTGGGACACACCTTGTATTACAGAAGTTTTAGATTAATTTGCATTATAACTTTCATTTGACAAATAAATGAATTCATGTTCTGTCAATTTAATTACTGAAGTAAATTGTAATTGTTGGCTTTAAGTTGCAAACTTGAGTGCAAATTCAAATATTGCCCTCAGCACAATATTTTGTCATCGTGACAGCTCAAGTTTGGTACTCTGCAGAGAATTTTCTTCATTTGTTGGTGACCTTGTTACTTTTAGTTCGTAGAGCAAAACATAAGCCATTGTTCGGCATCATTCCAATTAGAAATCAGCCACTACTCTGTAATGTAACAGGAAGTTCTGTCCACCCTCAGAAGAATGTTATCAACAAGATTACTGTTCTTACCTGATACTACACAGCTCCTGAAAGTTGTGCCCTCTTACATTGACATACGTTTCACGCCGACATAAATAATCCTGACACTTGTTGCAGTTCACCCTCTGTGATTTCTAGAGTAACATTCAATGTCTAAAGTCTCCAAAGTGTGTGATTTCTGTAAACCTTTTAGTTCAAGATTCCTGACAGAAATCACACACAAATCTGGGGAGTACGCTCATAATCCTCTCCTGATTATTTGTTCGTCAAGCATGGTGCCTGTGTTCATTTCTAATGTCATGTGTGGTGATGCTTGTCCTGCCAAAACTAAATATACTGTTCCTTTGGTTATTTCTCCAAAGAAGGGCTCAGAAGTTTTGTTCACATACCATCTGAATTACCTGTGTTATGAAAAAATATGGGGCTATGATTCATCAAGCATTTGCAGCACACCATTCATTAAATTTCTGGTTGTACAGTTGAGTCTGGAAGAGAACATGGATTTCCAGTATCTCCATGATATGTGAGGGTTATGTAGCCACTGAATTGAAACCAGGCATTGTCCATAAAAAAAGCTGATGGTGGTTAACTACAGTGAAATTTATTTAAAGAATATCAGCCAACCCATAGCCCTTGTCACTAGTGACGGTTATTAATACCAGTATTTGTGTGAACAGAATTGCTACGTGACTGAAGAGGAATATAGGGAAGTATGCTGGGGGGGGGGGGTGTAAGTGTAACAGCTCGAGGGAGATGTGGAGAAGATCAATACATGGGACTTCTTTCTGTCGTAATATCTGCAGATTCTACCTTCCACATGGGCTCACTGTAGATGCAGACAACAATGTGTGGGTGACAGATGTTGCATTGCATCAAGTATTCAAGTTCTCTCAAGGAGGTGGCAAGCCACTTCTCACTCTTGGAGTTGCCTTTATGCCTGGTAATGATGATGACCACTTCTGCAAACCAAGTGCTGTTGCTGTCATGTCCAATGGTGACTTTTTTGTATCTGATGGTTACTGCAACACAAGGATCATTAAGTTTGATAAGAATGGCAAATTTCTGATTCAGTGGGGACGTAATTCATTTCAAGGTAAAGCTGTCACTCTTCTTTTAGGCAATATCTAGATTCTGAACACATCTCTACATTGCTTTGTGCTTCTCTGAACCAGCTGCATGGAATGCACTTCTTTACCAAGCTGTTTTTTCTTTTGCACCCATATACACATTACTTTTTTTGTGGTCATCATTGAAAGTACAGCACACCATAAGCCTTGGCCTTCTGGAGAAGTTCTTGCCAGCTTTCTCAATTCATAGCTGTAGATCTCCCATTTCTTTACATCCTAATCTACATTGTCTCTCCGTCACAGTTTTGGCCTTCTGCTCCCTGTTCTTCCTGATATCACCTTGAATATTCTTTGGTTTTCCTGCTATACATACTAATATGCATGAGTTATGCAGATCAGTGGTTTATTGCTGCCACCAACAAGATCTGATTCTCGGGTGATGTTTTTGGTAATTTGCTATATTAACCACATTATTGCACATTTTATTTTACTGTGATCTATAAAAATACACACTTCTTGGTCTGCATGGTTCTCCCATCTAGTTAGAATTATTTATAGTTGTATGAAAATGTGGTTGTTTGGTTTGTTTCTAATGCTTCCATGTATGATGATATTTACCATGGGCCTCTGCCTACCTGGGCAAGGACAAATGTGTCCGATGTGGACACTGACAGCAGATTCTGTCCCCCTAATAATATCATCACGAGAATGATGGCCAGTAAATGGGACCTGCAACTTCATGTATGCTCATAACTGTGGGGGAAGGCTGGAAATGTTGATTTTTTGAAAGTTTTAATCTTTGGTAGAGGCAGTGGTTTCACCCTATGACCAGAAACATTTGCTCACAGATCTCACCAAGGATCCAACCCAGAACCCTGTGAATGAGAATACAGTGTTCACTTGTTGAAAAGTATTGCCAGTGGTTACATAGTACCTTTGAGCTACAATGTTTGTGTTCTGATTCATAACAGTTGTGTTGATTATTACCAGTATGAAATAGATTCTAATGCAATTTATAAACAATATAAGAGATTATATTCGTTTATTGCCATATTTATTCAAAGACAACATGCATTTTTTTGGTTTTAATTTTTGTGTAAAAATTTGAATGCACATCATCTTCAAGGCTTTCGTCTTGGCAGCACAAAGTGGTGTGTATGATATATCAGGTTCTGATATGCTTACATTGAAAAGTGCAAAAATGCATCTGTTAGCTTTTCCAGTCTCTCTGTGTATCTGTAACAACTCAAGAACTGCTGAACACATTTCCCTAAAATTTAATGCTGGGGTATAGTTAGTCAGTGTAATCCATTTTTGGCAAAAAATGGAGAACTGTAACATATGCATTTCTTTGCAGTTCTAGAGTATAATTTGCTCTATCTTAATTTGAGTGTAAAATATTTTTAACAGAGTTGTAGAGAGAAATGGAACACATTTTATATCTAGTACACTTTTTTTAATAGTCCTGAGTTTTTGTGATAATTAAATAAAAGGAACAAACGCATTAGAAGTGTCAACACTGTGCATATGTTTTGTAACTCATTTCTGTTAATTTACTTAAATTTTTACTTTTCGTTTTCATAAAATACTACAAAAAAATTGCACCATTTTATTCAGGGGCAGAATTTGGTTAAACACAGTAGGAATTTTAGTAAATTTTTTCTGCTTGTACATGATAATTTGACCTTCAGGTGAGTGTAGGAGAGAAAATTAACCCTTCTGTGCTCAGCATAATCTACTGGCTCTTATCTAAATCATGCTCATTTAGTTACATAAATTGCTCAAAGGCGACAGCACAAGACGGTGGGTTCTCTTAATAACCTTGAATATTGCTCTTCCATCCAAACATTATGTACACAAGGTGGATGTCTGGCATCTCATCACATTCTGTGAAATGTTCATGTCTCGAGTTGGGAGTCAGCAGACATGAACGTACAATGATATGACACTCTCTGATTAGAGTATTTTTCTTTGTATCTTCTAACACCATCTGTATCATTTCTGTTGCACACTCCTAGCACAAGATGCATGTCCAGTAATTTACTATATGCATAGCCACTTTCCGTACTGGATTGGTATGTAATGTACTTTCCAAACTTACATTGCTTCATACTGACTTGAAATGTAATATATATTAGTGTTTGTATACATTACAGTACATACTCAGAGTTATACTGTCATGCTGTAAACATCAACACAAATTTTGCTACCAAATGGAACTCTGATTACCACATAACGCAGGAAGAATGCCCTCAGAATATCTCTTTTTCAGAATGTGACTGCAGGAGCTGACCTTTTCCCGATGGTTATAACTTTTTAAGGAAATCCCATTATAGTACATATTCATATAAATTTTGTTTTTGTTGTTTATTTTGGTATCCAGAAACCATCATGTAAAATATAGCATGTAATAATGAGACACGTGTATAGTGTCCATAGTAATTTATGCATAATGTTTATATATCAAATGCCACAGGTAACATAAATTGAAGAAAAGCCTGGAAAATATTCAGCTGATATTATTGAACAAGAAAGGCATTCCAAAAATAAGTGGAAGGTGTTCCTGAATGAGAAATCTTGTTCATAGCATTGAAAAAAATTACAAAAGTAACAGACAAGACTAGGTCATATTCAGGATACTGTAGAGAGAAGGAGAACTGAGTAATAGTAAAAGCATGTATATATTACGCTTTTATTGGTTAAATTAGCATAAAATTGTTACAGTTAAAATTGCAGCAGATTGTTACAGTTTTAACATCATTATTGAGTTTAGGGGGTAAAATCTATTGAGAAAATTTCTGGGCATGTGTAATATTTTTTGTGTAAAGCATTTAATCATCAGTGATAGCTTACCTCAATATGTTGAATATTTCTGGAAAGATAAGATTGATTGGTAGAATAACAGTATGCACAGAGCAATGCTGCTGTGCTGTGAACTTCTTTCAACAAGAGTGGACACTACAATATCGAGTCACTGTAATTCTTCTGTCACTTATTTCTATCATCATATGCTGATATTCTTAACTACTCCCTACTGTGCTAACATTCAAAGTAATATAATAGCAGATATTAGGCTTGTATATGTGTGTGGATTCATGGGTTTCATACTTCCAGTATTGATCTCAGTTTGAATATGTACGTTTGAAAGAGAAATTTGAAGAGGTATAGTTTTGCTTTATCCTGAAATTTGTGTTGTATATTCCAAATTCTACACTATGCATGTATGTGGGTGCAGGTATTAGGTCACCGGTCTACGAGTTCTCTGTGCCCCATGCATTGACATTGGCTGAAGATAAGGAGATGTTATGTGTGGCAGATAGGGAAAATGGACGTGTTCAGTGTTTCAACTGTCACAATGGTTCCTTCATAGTACAGTTCCGTTCACGGGAGATGGGCTCTCGGATATTCAGTGTGGCCTATTCTCCTGCACAAGGTACATGATTAGATATTAAGTTCCATCTTCTCTGTAGAAGCTTTAAAGGGATTTTGTATACTGGACAGCACTACAAGTATTTGATTATCTTTATTTACTTGATTAGAAGATGTTGAACCAGTTACCTCCACTGATATATTGTAAAGAAAAATTATCTTGTGCCTTATCCAAATAAAATTCTTCGTACAAACTTAATAATTTTTCCTACATCTTCATGGTGGATCATTTTAAGTTTACTGTTATTGTGGTGGAACTTGCACCTATTATTTGCTCTTGTAATTGTCCTTTCATTTCTATTGATTGATCCCTGACATTCTGTGTCCATGTTAGTCTACTCAACATTAATTTTAATACTGGATCAAGTACGGTTTGTGAGAATGAAATAATTTGCATAGCAGAAGCCTCTGTTGCTTTCCTGTAGTCTCCCATGATTATTCAGATGATTTTTGTTTGTCTGCTGTAAGCAGTGGAATTACTGAATTGTTACAGTTAATTACAGTAAATGTTTAAAATTAACAACAGTATAATATACTATTTGTTAAATCAGATTTAAACATTTACCAAAGGATCATATATCTGCTGTGGTTTGCCTAAATATATTTTCAAAGCCAGTGTTCTGCTTCCAGCATCATCATCATTGGAATAACATCTGATGTTTTATTATGATATGTAGCTTAAGCACAGAGCCACTAACTATAATCCAGCATCTCCAAGCATATAAAAGTGAAATATATTGTGTGCAGATATGGTAGTAACAGTAACATAAATCTGATGATGTGTAGTTTATTTTCTTAGAAGTATTTGAATTATATTGACTCTTCTTTTTTGGCAGATATATAACAGAAAGCTGCAAAATTTACCCATGTAGCTTTTGTGTATCTGTCTCTGTTTCTCTCTCCATTTGCAGTAACTACTTGAGAACTGTGAAATGGATTTTCATAGAATTTGGAGTTTGGGAATTTTAATACAATTCGTTGGCACATTTCCATTTTATTGCAGTCAGGCAACAATAACAGACATCAAGCTATCAGTAAAACTATATTTTACCTTTTAGGAACCATCAGCACACCTTCCATTGTGTTTAATATTCATTTAAAATTCATTCTGCTATATGTTTTGACCTGTATTGGTCATATTCAGGTGGTGTACTGTACATAACTAGTGAACTGTTATTGCTCTTTATAGTGTCTTATTGAAAATATGGATCTAGGTTTTTCTGAGTTACATAGGGACAGGTGAGGTGAGGTACAGTCAGCTTCATGGTCTGGCTGTGACATCCCTAGAGAAAGATTCTTTTGTTGTATATTGGATAAAATGCTGGGTGGGCCCCAGGGTAATTTAGGATGTGCTGGTGAAGACATGCCGACTACTTCTGCAAATAATACCCTAGTCACTTCAAGTTATTTGGTCATACAGGTATTGACGTTTTGAACATAATTCATCATCCTGTATTTAACCCACTTCCCTAAAGCAAACTTATTTTATTTAAATACAGTAATTTAGAGAGGTAAAAGCCTATTCAGATGAGCCCAAGCAATGCTGGTACTCCCTATCTCCAGTGATAGTGACTAGCTGTATCATTTGGGCCCAACCGAATAGGCTTTTACCTGTGGACAGAGTTCATTCTCTGAAACATTGTTTTGAAATAAAAAACATGATGATGAATAATATGTAGGAAGTCAATAATTGTACTAATATTCCATCATCACAGAATTTGAGATCTTGCTTATTTAGTTATGTTACGATAAAAGAAATTGCAAGCTGTATAATGTAACATAAACTGTAGTGGAGGCTGGAGGGTTGAAAACTGGTATAAGTTCTGATATATCTGGTGCAAATGTGCCTATGTTCTGGTTCTTGACTAGGCATATGATTGTTTTCCTTGTAAATACAACATTACATGAAACAAAAGTTTAAAGAAGGAATAGCTCTCAAATTAAGAAATTTAAATTTATTTTTGTTTTTGTTTACTGTTCACCATGCAGTGGTATCAAGATTTAAAATTAAATGTTTCTAAATTTCTTCACTGCCCTACACTTCCGCAGAAGGCACAGCAGTTCACCCAAATTTCAACACACCTAGTGATGTCTGAGTAGGCTAAAACATTTAGTGCAGTGTTGAATTTCAAAAGGATTTAATCTTAAATCTTTATATTGTTGCATGGTGAATGGTAAACAAAACTGAAAATAAATTCTAATACCAACTGCAACAGGATGCTAAAATACAACATTAGGAAATAAAAGTTTAGTCATGTAAATAAAAAAGCAGAAAAAGGAAAAGAATGGGGATTCAAATTACATCCAAAAATTCTTATTGCAATATTTGGATGCGCGTTAAGAGCCATGTTTTCTATACATATTGCATAGGGTATGGTATAAATTGCATATCTTTGAATGGTCTGTTTTAGGTTCATGATTGGAAACAGGAAGCAGAAAAGTTAGTTTTTGCTTCTATTACATGATGATTGATGTCAGTCTGTTATTATAGGTGGTCTCTTGACTGTTGTTAATGGTCCTGAATTTGGTGGTGGTGGACTTGTGAGTGGATTTGTCATAAGTTTGGCCAGAAAGCAACTAATAGAAGCTTTCAGTCCAAATGGACAGGGATTCCACAATCCACATGATGTTGCTATTAGTACAGATGGCAATCAAATATATGTGGTGGAGCTTGACCCCTATAAAGTGTGGAAATTTGTAAAGGGTAAGTATAAGACTGAAGCCTCCTCATTTTTCAGGGTTAACACTTTTCTTTTGAATTTGTAGCTGAAAGAAATTATATGAACTCACATAATTACAGCGGCACATGAGAAGCATGGTGAAGAACAGAGCCATGTAGTATATTGCACTATTTCCCTGGCATGTATTTCCTTGCTAGAATGAGACAGGAGCATTGATTTGAATTATTGAGGAAGTATGAGACTGAAGGTCTGCTTGAGTGGGTAGCATCTGCTGTATTCTGCCAAGGGGAAGTAAACATGATCACAGTTACAATATGTATTCATATTTCTTCATGGTATCAACTGAAACTCTATTAATATACACACCTTACTGTAATTTCTATTTAAATATTACACTAGGTAACAGTGTATGGAAGGAAGCATATTTTAGTAGCATTTCAGTCATAGTATGAAGGCTATTCAGGAAGTAACCTCTGTTTATTTTAGGCAATTAATGCAGGAATGAGGGAGAGCTCACGCATGCAAGGTAGCATCACATGACTCGTTGCCTTGTAAACCATCATACACGGTGTCCCAGGAGGAATGTGCCAGACTTCGGGAGGGTGTTCCTTATGTTAAAGTATGCCGATATAACCCAAAACACCTATGTCCAAAGTTGAACGGTTATGGAGATAATGGCCAGAGAAGTGTGAAACTTTGACAGGTGTTACACACTTGTTGATTACCAAATACATATTAACCCTTTTGCGCGGTCATTTAAATTCCGCTGCCGTGTCTCTCTGGCGGTAATATATTCAGCCGACCATTTAAATTTTACTCGAAAATGATTTATTCATCATTGTCCTTAAATTATATGAGATAGGAACATGAAACTTTCACTAAAATGATCTTAAAAGGTGGTTTTATAACCTTACCTTATAATATGAGCGCCCGGTATCTCGGCAATGGAAGCAGTTGGTTTAGAATTTGAGCAGTGTATGGTATGCCTTGAAGCATGAAACTTTCACTAAAATGATCTTAAAAGATGGTTTTATAACCTTGCCTTATAATATGAGCGCCCGGTATCTCGGCAATGGAAGCAGGTGGTTTAGAATTTGAGCAGAGTATGGTACGCATTGAAGCATTCTTCTATACACAACGCTGTCTCACATTCACCACACCAATACTGCGTATCTCTCATTTGGCTCTTTTTTCCGTAAACCAAACATCTTCTGTGCGGTCTTGCGTTCTTCTTAAAGGGGGAATACGAGGAAATGTCTTTCCGTGAGTCGTATAGCTTGCCAGATCAGCTGCAGTAAATTCAACCTTTATATGGTATCATAACAAGTGGTTGGTGCTATGCGTTTTATATTCCATCCATTTTGGCTGCAGCAGATGTCATAGGGGTGAAAACAGAATTCATGAAGTTATTCTAAGAACTGGCTGGTATGTAGTGCATGAAAGCAGAGCTTAGCTGGCTCAAAAAAATATTTATGGTCATCCCTCGAAACGACCACCAAGGTCAGTACGATAAAATGGAGTCAACTGGAGCGATAATACATGAAGGAATGAGTTCTTTTCCCTCCCCCACACACACCCATATTGTCACAGGGGGTGACCACAGTGTTCTGCCTTAATTCGTGACGTTATTCTAAGAACTGGCTGCTATGTACTGTGCGAAATCAATCGATCTTGCAAGAATAAACTTTTGGACATACCTCTTCTAAGAATTCTAATTGAGTGTGTTAGTATGGCCAGCTCAGGGCAATATGATATTATAAACACAGCACATATCACATCTCTGCTGTTTATAACTTCATAGGAAAGAAATCACGCCATTCATAACAGTTTGAATGAGGAAACTTCTACCAGAAGCAACACGAATTTGCTGCAAGACAGGCATATGTAACGATGACTTAACGCAGCTAAAGTCATGTCTCATTATATACTGTTCTTCTGACAACAGGCCAGCGAAAAATCTAACAATCTACAGCAAAACCATCAATTATTATGGGTGTTATAACATAGGTGTGCAGCTGGACGAAACATAGACGTCGAACCCCCGTAGACGATTTAAATACCTTTACGAAACATACACGTCAAACCACACTGAACGGTTAAAACTGGCAGGAATATGTGGTTTCTGTAATGGTAAAAATGTACGTAACATCAAACTAACTTGTGAGTGACATGAAGCCATTGAATTGAACTACAAAAAACTTGCATGCCATGTCAAAGTTGTCGTTAGGGTTCCAAGCACTATACACGACACATGAATGGCAAACACTGACGTAACATTGCTGACTGCGCGTTCTGGTATGCAAGTGTGTGGGGCTAACATGAGCGGTCATCACCATACTCAAGGACAAACATCGATAAAACTAGTCGGCTGACAGGTAAAGTGCGTGGACTCGCCAGAACACACTTTTCTTGGGCTGTTATCTCCGTAACCGTTCAACTTTGGACATAGGTGTTTTGGGTTATATCAGCATACTTTAACATAAGGAACACCCTCCCGAAGTCTGGCACATTCCTCCTGGGACATTCTGTATATCTGGTCACCTAGTGTTTTTTCTTGTCTCTACAGAGTGAGTAAGTTATGATGTGTCCTGTGATTGTTAATCCTGTCAGCTGTGAAACTTGTGCTTTTATCTGCTTTCTTCATGCTAAAAACATGAGTGCTACAGAAAAATATCATGGATTATGTGCAGTTTACAGCCAAAATGTAATGAGTGAAGAACCTGTAAGACAGTGATGTAGATTGTTCAAAGGTGAGCCAACAAATGTTCACAATGAAGAGTGAAGTGATTTGCCGACTGTAATGAATGATGATTGTATTCGAAGTGTTGACCAAAAAATTTGTGAAAGATGGCAATTTACAGTTTCAGAAATTTCATAAGAATTTCACAAATTTCACTCACTGTTCTCTACGAGATTATCACAGTTTGGCTAGGATGTCACAAGTTTTGTGCATATGAGTTCCAAAATGCTCATGGATGCACAGAAAACATAGAGAATGACTTCAGCCTTGACTTTTTCAGAACAGTACCACAAAGATGGCAATGAATTTCTCAGTTGCATCGTAACAGGTGATGAAACCTGGGTTTCATTTGTGAATGTTGAAACCAAAGAGCAGTTGAAAGTAGTGGATGCATGCACATTCATCATTCAAGCTGAAACAGTTTACAGAAACGTTGTCTGCCTGCCAGAAAGTAGATGGCAACTGTTTTCTGGGACAGGTTAGGGAGTGCTGATAGTGAACTTAATGCCATAATGGACCACAAGGTCACAAATGTATTGTGAAACACTAAGCCATTCAGAACAAAAGTCATTGAATGATGACATTAGTCTGGTACTCCTCGATGACAATGCATGTCTGTATACGGCTGCTCACATTTGAGCACTGCTGGAGCATTTCAGCTTGGAGTTGTTTGACTATCCTCCTTTCAGCTCTAATCTCACTCTGAGTGACTACCACTTGTTCACCTACCTGAAGAACTAGAAGAGATCACAGCACTTCAAAAATAATGAGGAGTTGGTAGAAGATGACGAAACATGGCTGAGCTCACAGGTGGCAGACTTCTGTGACAGAGGCATACAAACCTTATTCGCTGATATGACAGGTGCCTCAGTTTCGGCTGTGACTATGTTGAGAACTAACTTAAGTGCATAAGTATTTTTTGTACATAATACTTTTTTCGTTGCTTATTCTGTTAATGGCATACCAGAGGTTACTTTCCAAATAGCCCACATATATAAAGTCTAGTTTCATTGATTCTTGGATTATTTAATGTCACATTTTTAACTGCATATATTATTAGCATTGATTTGTAGGATGGTCATGAATAATTAATTGGAAAGGATATGGAAGGAAGTGGTCATGGCCTGCCACTGCCCAGAATTTGCTTATAGGGACTGAGAGCAAGCATGAAAATCCTTATTCATGGTAGCCAACCTTTGGGCAATAGGGGGAATGTTAGCAGCATGGCTGACATTCAGTGTAATGAGAAGTTTCACCACTCTTTTCATCTTTGGATTATGAATACATTTTGAAATGTTTAGTAAATTGTGTATAATAATTAGAGTGTATGTTGTGTTTCAGGATCTGTCAACAGTACCAGGATTGAGCCAAGGCCCATTGCAAACACCAGTACAAGTGCTATTAAATCTGTTATCCCACAAAATGGTAATGTCTTAGCCCCCGTTTTGCCAGTTCATAAATGTTGTAAATTCCACATTTGTTGGTTTTTTGTACTTAATCCCATTTCCAAATGTCCAGTACCATTTGTGTTACAGTTGCAGTGGCATTGTAGTAGATCTTTTTCCAAGCATGTAAAATCTTTTCTGCTAATCTTTATTGCACCGGTGCCCCATACTCATTTATCATCATCATGACGCCGACCCACTTTCACAACTAACCAAAATATGCATAGGCGCATTGTCACAATGCAAAATTCACTTGTCTCTGTAAATATTTTATGTTCTTCAGTGAATGCGCAGACCTGAATCTTATATAGTGTGACGTGGATGGCGCAACAGGAAGTAGGGGTCACATGAACTCTGCGGTCTCGCGAATGATGTCACATGCCCCCACTCCTTCCATCATTACGCCGCGCTCGGTAAACACCCGTCCCCCACGGTGACGTAACAGCACTTCCCACTGGGACGGCACAGGGAACACCACGGCTACTACACAGCAATAAACAACTCTCGGCAGCATTGCCTGTAAACATGGTGAATACGCAACAGGGAAGTGATGCGCGTTTTACGCTGTCTGGCTGAGGGTTTATAAGAGAGACTGGAATGCCTAAGCAGTTAGTTGAAATATAGCAACAGTCACGGAAAGAAGACCCGAACGCATGGTTAGAAGATTTTATGTGATAGTGTGTGATAACTGAGAAGTCAGTCAGTGAAGACTTATTGTGTGCCTTCAAGACTTTGTGTGCGCGGTAGTACAGTTATATTGGGAGTGTGTAATATGGTGACACTTGTATAGCTTCTGTGTTGTACTGTGAATAAGTGAAGACAATTGAAGATAGAGTGAACAGATTATTGTGTAGGGTTTATAAATTGTGTAAACCCGCAACTATGTTATAATTAATTGTAGTTATGATTTGTAGGTTGTTAAATAAACCAATTAATAATCTGGACGGCGTCTTCAGTGGCAAAACACGTTACAGTATGTTGTAGACAGAATCTCTAGTATAAATTTGTATTGCATATTACCAGAAAAGCAGACTACCTTCTGTTTTGGTATACCATAATACTTTGTATATAAGACACCCATGAGTTTAAGATACATCCAGTTTTTAAATGAGGGTTTTAGGAAAAAAATGGGAAGTTGTATTTATTTCATTGAGTTAATTTAGAACACACCAATTAAAATAACACATATAAATGGCAAAGTAATGGAAAATATACAAGAATGCAATGAAGATTTTAAATTTTCACTACATGTACATTCCTTTCTATGTATTGTCGCGTATTGGGCGTATAACGTGACAAATAACTTCACGCCGTATTTGGTATAGCGAATTTTATTTCACATTCGCACTTACAGTCACACACTTGACAGTTTTAGAACTACTGCTATCTGCAGTATCACAAATACTACACTCCAAATGCCACAATACAACTGACTGGTTGCTGGCTAACT